ATCGGGTTGGGAAACTTCGTATTTGATGTCCTCAGTAAGGAAAATTCTACTTGTACCCCATATTTGTACCCTATTTTGTATCACAATGCTTTGTCCTAACATTAAATGTATGTGCAAAATTAGTATTATGCCAGTGTTGCACTTACATTATTTTATGTCAGGGTAAACCTTTGAGGATATAAAACGGAGTACAAAGTAGAGTGAGAGTGATGGGTATATTACATACCCAGGTATACTCGTCAATACCGAGGTGACGTGTCAACCACGAGGTCGGGTGACTAGTGGCGGTTCGGGTCTTCCGGATTCGGCTAGGAGGCTATTCGGAGCATGACGCTAGGTGACCGATCACCCCCGATTTAAGGTGACCGGTCACGGGTCTTCTTTCCGAACTCGACTAAATGGCTACTTTGGAGAACGGTGATAGGTGACCGGTCATACCCGGATTAAGGTGACCGGTCACGGTTTTACCCTTTCACCTTCGGCAAGATGGGCATTTTTGGTCACGGCGGTGGGTGACCGGTCACCCCCGGGCTAAGGTGACCGGTCATGTTTCGTGGTCTTCAGGGATGGTCGGTGGAGACATTTGGGCGCGGCATACTGGGTGACCGGTCACCTTCCGGATTAGGGTGACCGGTCACGGTCTTGGTCTTCAAGAATAGTCGTTAAGACGCTTTTTGGGTGCGACATTGGGAGACCGGTCTCACTTTTGAGTTTCGATCTATGGATCATGGTTGAACAAATCCGCCTCCCCCAAACCCTAGTATCTAGGAGATCAATGGAGGGACCCACGCTCGTCACTCAATAGATCATTGTAGAAAAGTCCTTTGGCACCATCCTAGATTTGTATTCAATCAATATATTCTGATTGCATAGTGATGGATGCTGTCTGGTTATTTGTCCTTAAGTGGGCAGCTTCCATGCACCTGCTGAGCCTCCTCTACTCTATAAATAATCTGTGATAGAGAGAGGAGAGGATATTCACTACTACTTCCATAAAATCTTGTACACTCTAGAAAGAGTAAGAAATATATTCGGACTCGGGAGATTTACCCCGGTCTAGGTAATTCTGTGTTGTGTTCCTTACTATTAAGCTTATCTTTATTTACCCGGTTAGGCCTCCCTAACCCGACCCAGTTACCTACTTCTCATACCTGGTGGGATTTACACCATCAGAGAGTAGAACAACCCCCTAAGTAATTAAGAAGTGGATACCGAGTTATGGGGATTTCAAATCTGAATTTCTTTTTTAACTCACCAAACATCTTGTAAAAAAAATTGGTGGAGCCGTGGAGGGAGAAAGAAAAGGGAAGAACGTCAAGGAAAAGAAAAAAGAAAACAGAGAGAGGTTAGAGTCGTATTTTGGGTAAGAGAGAGTAGAGGTGGCAATCGGATCAACCGGATCGGTTTCGGGTTGGATTTTTTCGGTTCGGATATCTTTCGATTATATGTTATAATTGGTTCGGTTCGGTTCGGATCGGTTAAATTTCGGTTCGGAATTGATTTCGGTTCAATACATTTTTCGGTTCGGTTCGGTTTCGAGTCGGTTCAGATACGGTTCGGTTATAAATCGGTTCGGATAGATTTCGGTTCGGATACAATTTGAGTCAGATATATTTCGGTTTCAGGTCTAGTTCGGTTCGGATATATTTCGGTTTCAGATCAAATATATTTTAGATATATATTATTTTCTAATTAAAATTTAACTATCTGTGGTTCTTTTTATGTTTTATCACATTTATCAATCTATCATCAATTCAATACCTCATATCATTTTATATTTTTTTCTAGTTATATTATCTCTACCCTAAATAATCTTCCCTTTTTGACTTTTTAGTCATATTTTATAAATTTGGACTACAAATTATGAAAACATATATATTTAATTATGATATAAATTTAATATAATTAAATTGATTTTAAAATTTAGTTTTAGAATATCAAAATTTTCTCACATCTCCTAATATACTTATGTATATAAATGAAAGGATAAAAGATAAATTCAAATAGTCTTATGTTCCATTTGAATACAATTTGGTAAAAATTGAGTAAAATTGGGTGAAATTAAGTGAATTTTATTCAATTGAATGCAAAATTTATAAATTATTGAGTATATTTGGTTTAAAATAGAGAAAATTAAATTTAATAGAGTCAAATATAATTAATTTTACACCTAAATGTAATGGTGTAGATCAAATTTGAAAATGATAATAGTAAAGGCTGCCGCTAGAGAGTCTTTTCAAGAAAACATGGTTAAATTAAAAAAGATTAGAGCATGTTCCTTAGGATTTAAACTCTTAACTTCCAGTTTCTTCCAACAGTTTCTTTTAATTCTTCTAATTTATTCACATTCCTTCTAGTTTCTTTCAACTATTATCATTTCTTCAAGTTCTGACTACTCCTAACCAATTACTCTAAAAATCATATATTTTTAATGTGATTATTATTATTATTATTATTACAACTATTATGTTCATAATCATACTTTATAAATTATTTTTTGATCTCACTATTATTACTATTTACTCATTATTTTTCATTCAACTTTTTAATATGAATAAGAATTTTTTTTCTATATTAATCTACATGATAAAACAGAAAAAAATCAATATTTTATACTATATTAAAAAATTATGGATAAAACAGTTACCATACATAGAATGTTTTATTAATCTAAATTTATATAATACCTCTCACTTTTCCCTTTATTACTCAAAAGTTTCTCATTTTTCTAATTTATTCTCATTCTTTCTAGTTTCTTCCAACTATTATCATTTCTTCAAATTCTGACTACTCCTAACCAATTACTCTACAAACCATATATTTTTAATGTGATTATTATTATTATTATTATTATTATTATTATTATTACAACTATTATGTTCATAATCATACTTTATAAATTATTTTTTGATCTCACTATTATTACTATTTACTCATTATTTTTCCTTCAACTTTTTAATATGAATAAGAATTTTTTTTCTATATTAATCTACATGATAAAACAGAAAAACATCAATATTTTATACTATATTAAAAAATTATGGATAAAACAGTTACTATACATAGAATGTTTTATTAATCTAAATTTATATACTACTTCTCACTTTTCCCTTTATTACTCAAAATTTTCTCATTTTTCTAATTTTTATAAAATAAAATTGAAAGTCAAAATAGTTTAGAGAAAAAGACTAAAATGAAAGTATAACATAAAAAATGTAAAAAAATTCTATGTATTTATTCTAAAAATAGGACTTACAATGAAAATAAAACGCAATGCTAAAAGAAAAATAGGCTTGATTACATTATGTGACATGTCTGATATTTAAAACAAAATCTTGTAATATAAAAGTATAATTACAAACATATTATTTATATACTGCATAAATAAATTGAGGTGCAACGTAACCACAAAAACTTTTTAAAATTTAACATTTTGATATTTATGCTAACTTTATATTATAATTATTGTTTTTTTCAAAAGTAGTTTTTTGTATTTGAAAAATAAGATTACTTTTTTTAACTTAAAGGCATTTATTAAGATAACGTGATGATGATGATGATGATGATAATGATGATAATAATAATAATAATAATAATTTATAACAATAAGAATTAAAATCAGAATAATATAAAAATACACTAAAAAAAATTTAAATTTTTTTTAGGTTTACCATTTTTTTGAAGTTTTCTAATTCCTTCCAGTTTCTTCCAGTTCTTTCCAGTTTTTTCCAGTTCCTTCTTTTTTTTCCAGTTTCATTCAACGTCCAACTCTTTTTTCCCAGTCATAAATAACAGGCTCTAAGAGTAATGGTTTTAGTGCCTTCGTGTTTTGGAAAAATAAGCGGTACTAATACTCTCTCTCTTTTAAAAACTTCTTTATGACTTCAGAACGTTGTATTGCACACGAACATTCCCGCTAACTTTTTTCATTCATCTTTTTTTGTTTATCTTTTGGTAAAGTTGAGATTATTTTGGATAATTTTTCCTAATAAAAATATTTTGTATATGATTTGAGTGCATGTGATATTAAATAATCTAATTTTAATAAAAATAAGTAATAAGTAACAAAAAAATGAATTAAACAGAACGCATCCAATGAAAAAAATGGAGTGATTAACATCTAGCATAAGACGGCATTAAAATTTTCTTTAAAATGTCGATGTTAATAAAAAAAGTTGTTCCAAACATGATCGTATTCCCCCTGTTTTTAAAAAAAATTTCTATTTTAATTAATGAGTGAAATAAGAAGTGTATATTTGTAATTAATTTTCTGATTTTGCACTTGATGTGGTGAATAAAAATAAAATGTCATGAATAAATTATCAGTGAAAAATATGATGTGATACAAAGACTAAGAACAAATAGCGATAAAAGTGATTTTTTAATAGAAAATCAGTGTTTTAGGGAAATTGAAAAGAATGATTGAAGAAGTGTTCAAACTTCCATTTATAAAATTTTAGCAGCGGCGGAAGCATTTAATTGGAGTTAGAGGCATATGTCCCCCTAATAATTTTTTGTTATACAATAAGTTTTTAACATCTGATCTGTTACAAAGACATATATGTACACCAATTTTTTAATTTAATTGTATCAAGTATTAACAAAATTATATCCTTCATCCGTCCTAAAAAAGTTTCAATCAAAATTGAAAAACTCTGATCATAAATTTTGAAAAGAATATATTGAATAATACGGAGTAATATAATTTTTATGTTCTTTAATTTGTCTTGAAATGTATTATTAAAATATCTTTTTTTTAAAAAAAAGTATTTAAACACAAAAATTTTGATATTAATAATCAAAATATCCGTTTGGTGATCGTGAAAAATTAAATGAGAATCCTAATTTAGAATGGAGGGAGACTTTAAAATGTTTCAAATGAAATTACTTTTTTTAAGTACATGATGCATTTATTGCTATAACATTTGATACTTTTTTATATTTGTATATACTCTTCCCCGGCTAAAAGAAAATGTATAGCTTCACTCTAAACCAACATGTAAAATCTCATATTTTTTTTGTAAATAATTTTTATTACTAAAAAAAAATTACAATGTTCGAATACATAATTAACAAATTTACAACAATAATTACCACTCCATCAAAACAAATATACATGTTCACATACATCAACAATCTCAATCATGGGTCAATTAAGGTACAGTCGTAGGAATTATTAACAGATAATTAAGATAAGCAAATACAGACGCAAAGGCTGTCGGGGGAGCACTGGCCGCCCTTAAAATGACCTTCCGGTAGGGCCCTGCATAGCGCGTCGCACAATCCCCGCTCGCCGTCGTTAGTGCATGCCCCATGTGTCCCTCCCGGATCGCATCCCGACGGCGCCTCCGCCCCCACCATTTTATCTGCACCTATATTTAATTATTTCTTTAATTTGCACCCAACTCATTTTAGTTACCCAATTAATTAACTAACTAATGACTCAGTCCTTTTGTGATCATCACAACATTTTGAGGGCACATTGTTATCCCAAACTTTTCCCAGAATACATATAGACAATTATTGTCTAAGCGCGGCTGCAAAAATAATACTCATTCCCGCCCATGAGAATTTTCCTGCCTTTCTTTTTTTAGTTGAAATAGTGTCACTCTTTGACTACAAATGGTGAGAAAAATATTTTGAATTATAATATAAATTTAATAAATTTGGGTTCAACCTTAGCTAGGATATAGGTTTGAATCATCAATTTTTTTTTTATAATTTATTTTATTCAAATTATGCTGAATTTATGGTCAAAAGGTGTCACACTCTGACAAAAAAATCAAAATAAGAAGAGTTTTCAAGGACGAACGGAGCATATGATAATTCGTGTTTGTGTAAAGTTTGGGGTCTGTGGATAGTCTCAAAAGGTCGGGGCTATCCTAGCTTTATTGGTTTTTTTTTTTTGAAGGCTATTGGTTTTTATTTTATTTATTACAAAAAGCTCAAGTTTTTCGATCATGTGACATACTCCGTATATAAAGGCTTATAAAATGAGTTTGGATCTAGAAACCAGATAGAAATTTATATTGACTAAGGGCCTGTTCTTTTGGACTTGAACTCTTAATTTCCAGTTTTTTCCAGTTCTTTCTAGTTCTTTCCAGTTTCTTCCAGTTTCTTCCAGTTCCTTCCAGTTTCTTCCAGTTCTTTCAGTTTTTTCCAGTTTCTTCCAGTTCCTTCCAATTTCTTCCAGTTTCTTCCAATTTCTTCCAGTTTTCCTTGTTTTTTCCAGTTTCTTCTAATTTCTTCCAACTATATTTATTTTCTTCAAATTCTTTCTACTTTTTGACAAATCACTCTAAAAAAATATATTATTATTATTATTATTATTATTATTATTATTATTATTATTATTATTATTATTATTATTATTATTCTTACAGTTTTTTAATTACAACTTTTATATTGATAACTATAGTTTATAAATTATTTCATTTTGTCATCTCACTATTTTTATGATTCATATTCATTATTTTTTTCTTCAACTTTTTAATATGAATAATACCATTTTTTGTATATTAATCTACAAGAAAAAATAGGAAACTATTTAAAAACTTATAGTTAAATAGTTATATACACCCTCTGTCCCTAAATATTCACAACATTTGCTTTTTCAACAGTCTCGTGAACTTTTGTTTATTTCGATGTTTTCATTGATTATTTGATAAAATAAAATATTCTTGACACCTCTTATTTCGAAGAACTTTTCATGTAGTTTTTTAATATGTAAATTTTATTTTTTATTTCTATACCAATATGTAAATAAAATGAATTGAAAAAATTTAATATTTTGCCTCGGGAATACAAATGTGGCAAATAATTTGGGACGGAGGGAGTAAAATATTTTTTAATCTAAATTTATATAAGGTAAACATCAATATTTTAATCTAAAATATAGTACCTTCAATTAAGTTTAACTACATTGTAGAATATTAAGTGCTAGTTCATCTCTAATTATTTTTTTAAACTATCTTTTTATGTATGAAAA